ACTAAAGAAAGTCCACAGTGAATATTACAAGAAAAGGATCAAAGAGAAAGGTTAGACCTTTCTTCATTCTGATTTAAGTTTGATGATGCACTATACACGATGAGGGTACCACTATCTCACAACTCATCAGTAGGTAATTCATAAGGAGGTCAAAGAAAGGAAAAGGCCATAGAATCATGCATAATTTAGCAACTTCATCAATAAACAATTCTTCAATAATAAAAAAGAGCACTGAAAGAGGCACGTGGTGCCAGAGAAAGGGAATAAAAATACCACCAACACCATTTGCAAGCAAATTTCAACTTTGTGTGCATAGAAAAACTAGATAAATCATTCCCAAATTTCATCAACAACCACGATAAACATGCATGAAAATACAGACACACATATACTTATACTTTGTACTTTACACTTGATCCACTGGGGTATGATGATAGCACAAAAATAAATAAGCTAAATAAATTATTAAAAAAGAAAAATATAGGGGAAAAAAACCAGTAAATAAATATCCAGTTACCTTGATCTTCACAAACTTAGCTTTAGTAATGTAACAGTCAGTATTAAGGACCCAAAAACAAAATCCACAAAGAGTAAAACTGCGCAGAAGCACATGGCTGCAATGGTCTAATCAGACCTGGCATAGCTATTGCGATTCTTGAATTCTGTCATAGTGTAGCAGAGTGAATTTATGCTGATACTTTTGGTCTGTGTTTGGCCCTGCCACCTGTGAAAGTTTTGCTCTTTCCCTGCCAAGTTATGGGAAAACAAGCACTGATAAACGGGAAAGTTGCCCTTGAAGAGAGCTTCTTGTATAAACTGTTTTAATTGGTGTTCTGTGATCGGCTAATTCTCCTTCAAGGTCGCTTGAAGGACAGATTGAGGAGGGGGATGATGATGAAGGACGCCCCCAGACTCGTTTGGAAAAGACCCCCCTGAGTACAGTACGCAGGCGCAGGGAAAGCCACGCGTGCACAGAAGAGATGCACTTATATAACTAAGGAGGTGGGACTGAGGGCCTCTGGCTGGGCGGTGCTGGCCACACCTGGGAGGTTGTGGTCACTCAATTAATTCTATAAAAAACAGATGGTGTTTCTTTATGGGAGCTAACTTCACACCAAGGACAACGTTACCTTTTGGTGGGGATGCCTGCCAGTTTGTGAACTTACTGACTCTCCAAGGATGCAGCTTCTGCTATGGGTAATTATAGGCATGCTAGGTCAGTAAGATAACTTTATGGGCAACAGCTGGGTAACTGGGGAGTTCGAGCTGGGGGCTTATTTCTCTCCTCCTTCCTCCCTTTTGGGTTTGTTCATTTTGTTGGCCACCTCTTGGTAATAAATATCGGTTTTGTTGAGCTTGCAACGGTGTCATGGTTTTCAAGTTTCAGTATGTTTCGAACCCCTCCCTAATACACAGTCACAAAGGACTTCTCCCGATTCTGTGTCGCAACCTCTCAGATCTTTTTTTCATTGCAGTGTGGCAAAATTAATACTTCTAAAAGCTGTTATTAACAATTCTTATTTCAAATTACTGGAGAACAGAGCATCCCATGGTCAGATATTTTAATTTAATTTCAAGAAAAACTGTCATTCCAAACAGATTTATAGTAATGTTGTGGTTTAACCCCAGCCAGCAGTCACGCCCCATGCAGCCACTCAATCACTCCCCCACAAGTGGGATCAGGAAGAGAATCTAAGGGGTAAAAGGTGGAAAACTCTTGTGTTGAGATAATGACAGTTTAATATGAAAAGCAAAAGACGTGCATGCAAGCAAAGCAAAACAAGGAATTGATTCACTGCTTCCCATGGGCAGGCAGGAGTTCAGACATGTCCAGGAGAGCAGGGTCCCACCAAGCATAATGGTTACCTGGGAAGTCAAATGCCATCACTCCAATCATCCACCCTTTCTTCCTTCTTCCCCCCACCATATATACTGAGCATGATGTCATATGGTATGGAATTTGCTCAGTTTGGGTCACCTGTTCCAGATGTGTCTCCTCCCAATCTCCCTTGCATACCCAGCCTCCTTGCCAGCATGGCAGTACAAAAAGCAGAAAAGGCCTTGCCTCTGCGCAAGCACTGCTCAGCAATAACAAAAACATCTATATATTGTCAACACTGTGTTCAACACAAATCCAAAACACAGCCCCTTACCAGCCCCTGTGAAGAAAATTAATTCTACCCCAGCCCAAACCAGCACAAGTAAGTAACACTCTAATGATAATACTAGAAATAACTATCAATATGCAACATATAGAAATATTTAAATTTATTTTTTTATATCTATAAACATTCCTTTTTAAACATCAGAGGCACTAATTGTGAATAAACAAAAACTAAATACAGAATTATCTGAATTTGTTTTAACCTTTATACTAGTTAACTATGATAAATCTACTCCAGTCAAACTTATCACCACAGATCTTTCAAGTGCAAAGGCTCACCAAGCTAGATATTAAGCAACAAGATAAGATAATAGACAAGGAGAGTAGGGATGGAGACAAGTCCTTTACTGACATAAACGTTCTTAGCTGTGATCCTCAAATTTCCTTTCCACACTATATTTTTTTTCAATCCAAATATCATAAAGTGACAAGCAAAGGACACTAGAACAAAACTAGAATTGCAGCTATTGTCTGTCACGTTGGCTACCATACACTACAGAGAGATGCAAGAATGGATATTTTTACAGAAATAGCATGTAGTAGTGTGTTAAGTGCATAGAAAAACAAAACCCAATTCTTTAAAACAAAGGAATACTAACTTTTTTTACTTTCATCTCAATAGCACATAAATTAAAACAAAAAAAAACAAACCACTCTAGGAGTACCAAAAAGATTAGTTATAAAATTAATTGGACCGATGTAAATCCTTCATACTAATTTTATATAGATTAGATTTTTTTAATTTTTATTTTATTCTGGATTATTTTCTGTTACGTAGGGATAATTGCACATACAGAACGTTAGGTAGTTCCAGGAACATATCAATGTGTGTTGGGTCTATCATGACAGTCCCTCTCACCTTTTCCTTTTGACTTTTTTCAAGGGGAAAATTGTTAGCATTTTACATCTGGGTCTAAATTGAAATCACACAGGCAATTCCTATACCACTGGGATTATGCATTGAAGTACCATTTGAGCCTTTAGAAATCTTGCCACTATCTGAAACCATAGTGCTTGCATGTTGAATAAGAAAGACTTTAACATTCCTTCTTTCTCTCTTTTCTGAGACAATGACATCTGTTTTGCTTCATCCTTTTGCTATCTTCACCAGACTATGCAAAATTTGGGGATTCGATTTGGCCCATGGGTAGGGTCTGACAATTTTTAAATTTTGGTCATACAGATTCACATTTCAATTTCCAAGTTTAGGTGAGAGCTTGTTCTCAAGCCCATTCTTGCAGCTCAAAACACAAAACTATTAGCTCTTACTTTTTAATTTTTACCTGCCTCTTCAGTGAAAATAAGTAACCTGAACTTCTTACTCAGAAACTGAATCACGTCCTTCTCAAATTTCAGTTCTTGGAGTAGTTCTCACACACTGCAACAGAAGGACGTTGCACAGTGGCTTTCCCCTACCATGGGAGTGACAGGGTGTAAGAAATCTTATTCAGAGGTAGAGAAGGAAGATAAGGAAAAAAAGTGAGACTTAATTAGCTGTCACAAGCATTTGGTAGCCATTTTAAAATTTTTATTTCTCATATAGTCTAGGTGACCTATAATTAGCATCACTGTAAGCATTTTTATTTGGGGAAAGGGAAAGAGTAGTCTCTTTTATCCTTCTGTAACCAATATGGTTGAGGTTTTTTGCCTATAAATAGCTCTTCTCTGTCCCTCCTTTTACACAAAACACAAACAATTATCTCTTGACACTTAAAAATAAGGAACAATGTATAACATATAAAAATTAAATGTGGTATTTTATTCTTAAATAACTCTGGCTAGTTTCATACAATCTGGGTAATTATATTATTTAGGAGAATAAAGTGTGTGTAGTATATATAAAAACGAAGATAAGTTATACATTTTTCCTGCATGTTGCCTGTATGTTGGGCTTTTTTAATTAGGGATCTGAGAAATCTGTAAGTTGAATCCAAGAGGCATGACAACTATTATATTTCCACATGGAATCCATCTGTTCCTGAATGTTAACTGCATGTTTGTAGTCTTCTCAGCCTCTTTACTGAAACCAAATTTACCACAAATATCTGCTCTAAATTTAGAGCATCATTTACATTAAGGCACCATTAGCCTGATTTGGCAATGCTGTATAACTAAGAAATAGAATATTAGGAAATTTTTTTAACATTCTCATATTATTACAAAAGGAAGCAAAACTTGTCAATGCTCAAATTCTTATCTATAGATACTTTTACAAGAGAAAACTTATTATACATATATATTAACTTTACATCAAGAGGTAGGAAACTTTGCTATGTTACTCACACTTCAGATTTTTTTTCTCTATTTGATGCCATTTGTGAATCCCATTATAACAACAGAGTAATTACAATGTGAACATATATAACTGTACGCAAAAATAGACGACATTTGGAATTTTTTTGCAGGTCACACTTAGAACATAAGTATTTAAGAAATATCAAAAAACTAGCAAGAGCATTCCTTCCACCCTCGTCTCTCTGAAGAAAAAGGTTTAACCATTTTAATAAGGCATTTATATTTAGATAAAACATTTTTTGTCATTTCAAGAAGCCATTCCATTTAAATTGCAGTACATACTAAAAGTCCTAAATATAACTGAGCAGCATTTATTTTTTCTGTGCATTGAAAAATCTATATTATTCCTAGATAACTAAATTTCTTCTCTTAATTTCAGAGCAATATTTAATATTAAAAATATAAAACCTATAATTATATAATACAGCTAGAAATTAAAATCTATTCTTTTAAAAGGCAATACATATTAATTAAAGAAAACCTCAGAAGAATCTCTCAGGGTTGACTTTCTTAATCACAGCTTCTAATTTTCTAGGGTTCATTATTTTCTTTGATTTCTTTTTTTTTCTTTCTTCTTGGAAAAACAGTGTATTTAACCCCAGCCTTTTGAGGTCATTTCACAAAAACAGTCATTCTCACCATCATCTGTCCAGGTAAAGTAGGCATTTTTTCTACTGGTATGTCTGTCTGCGTTGACTGAGCATGATTACAGATTTGATTCAATAGATGCTTGGTAGAGGAGCTTTTCCCAATCTCTGGCTCAGCTAACCATTGCTTCATAACCTTCAATTCTTTCATGCTGGTTTTGAAATTAGCTGACATATTTAACATAGTTTCATCTTCAAAAGCATTCATCTCCAGAGCTGAGATTGATCTTTTAATCAAACTTGTCTGTTAAAAAAAGGAAAACTTAATTTATTTAGATGTTCATTTGAAATAAGATTTATATACCACACTTCCTTAGTTTTAGTGGACTGGATTTTATTTTATATAAAATTGTAAAGAAAAAAAAAGAGTGACATAGGGACTACGTTGATTAAAAAAAATTTGTATTTAATGGGAAAAAAGATCTGCATATCTCAGGATATCTGTCAAAGCAAAGGGATGTGAAAAATTAATTCAAAGTTATTTGAAGCTCATAAAGGGCTGAAATCAGTCTTCCCTAAAAATTATTACAAGAAATTTAAATTAAATAACCCCAGACCTTGTAGGGAAGTTAAATTTTAAAATAAAAAAAGTATGCAACTGATGGTGACATTTACAGAAAAAATAAACTGAGGGATATTCATGAACCCAGAAGAAAAGACAAGAGGACTCTGTACAATGTTTACAAGTATAATTGTATTATATGGAAACATAGTTAATATCTGACTGTAATTATGCACTCTTATATTTTGTGTCCCCATCCCAGAATCACCTGATGAAATCAAAACCTAAAGAATAACTGTTAACCTCTGGTGTTTAATTGTTATTAATTATTAAGCAAATATTTTTTGCAATAACAAATTATTGTTTCTCAGATGTTTTGTGAATTCCAGTTCACTAACCTGCACTATAAACTAGGCATAACACATCTTTGTCAAATAAATTAAAACACAATTTCATGTCCACTGCCTGAAATGTACAGAGGGAAACACTTGTTACTAAATTAAAATAAATGAAAAAATAAATGAAGTATTGAATAATTTTTAATTAGACTCTGACAGAGTACGGGAAACTGAAAGGTCCTTGATTTAAAGTAAGCACCACTTAGCAACAACTAGAACGTCAATGCTCAATATCATATATTCAGGTATCCATATAGGTATGTAAATTAGAACACATATTAAATGGAACATTTGATTTTTCTCAACACATTGGAATATGGCAACACTGACATCTACTGGTGTTAGTCAGGTTTTGGGGAGCTTTTCTGCAAACAATCATGAAGTTTCTTGTGCATTCATGGAATTAAAGAGTGTTACTTCTGTTAGTTGCAATTCTACTGTCAGAGTAGACTGCTAAAGTGGACTTCATTCTCATTTCTGCTAATTGCAATGTATTTCCATTTAAAAACCTATTTAAATTTTCAGAATACTGAATAAGTGGCAGTGGGTGTCTCAGCATAACTGAGAACCAGCCATTTGATTTAACAAACAAAATGCCTTCTTGAAGTACATTTGGTCATTAAAAAGGAATCCTTAAAATGCAGCACTTACTCATAAGTTGTAGTTCTTACACAGAGAAAAAGATTGCAGATCTGGGAGTAGTTCTTGAACTCTTTTTAGGTTTCATTCTTCAAATGGAAGCTTTGATCTATTTCTTAAAGAGAAGAAAAGTAAGAACTGAAATCCAAACTTCTGACAAGCATTTGACCTTCCTAGTTTTTCTTTATATCGAAACAGTTTGTTTTGTACTGGATTTTTGTGGCAAGATTTTGGTAGTGGGGCAGCTACAGGGTGGCTTCTCTGAGAGGTTGCTGGAAGCTTCCTCCATGTCTGACAGAGCTAATGCCAAACAGCTCCAAGATGGACCTTGCACCGGACAAGGGTGAGCTCATCAGCAATAGTGTGAGCACCTCTGGGATAATATGTTTCAGAAGAGGGGAAAAAAGCTGAGCAGGAGCAACTGAAGACAGCGAAGAAATATGTGACAGAAACAGCTGCAGAAACTGCAGACACTGAGTTTGGTGAAGAAGAAGAAGGGGGAGGAAGTGCTCCAGGTGACAGAGCTGAGATTCCCCTGCAGCCCATGGAGGTCCACAGAGGAGCAGTGACCCACCTGCAGCCTGTGGAGGAGCCCCACACCAGAGCAGGTGGGTGCCCAAAGGAGGCTGTGACCCTGTGGGAAGCTTGTGCTGTACTAGGTTTTCAGCAAGACCTGTAGACCTGCAGAGAGGGGTCCAAACTGGAGCAGGTTTGCTGGCAGAACTTGTGATCCATGGGGGACCCACACTGGAGCAGTACATGAAGAATTGTAGCCTGTGGGGTGGACTCCCTTTGGAGAAGTTCATGGAGGATTATTTCCTGTGGGAGGGACCCCACACTGGAGCCGGGGAAGAGTGTGAGGAGTCTTCTCACCGAGGAGGAAAGAGCAGCGGAGGTAACACATGTAATGAACTCAATCCCATGTTCCCTTGTACCACTGGAGTGGAAGAGGTAGCGAATTCTGGAGTAAAATCTTCGGAAGGAGAGAGGAGTGGGGGGAAAGTGTTTTAAGATTTGATTTTATTTCTTATTTTCCTACTCTGATTTGATTGGTAATAATGTATTTTCTTTTCTTCCAAGTCAAGTCTGTTTTGCCTGTGATGGTAATTGGTGAGTGATCTCTCCCTGTTTTTATCTCAACCCATGAGCCTTTCACTATATTTTCTCTCCCCCGACCAGCTGAGGAGGGGACTGATGAAACAGCTTTGATGGGCACCAGAAGTCCAGCCAGGGTAAGTCCACCACAGGTGGTTCTGACTCTTCAAGGTGGGTGCCTGCATAAAAGGAATGTCAAATGAAGCTATACAACATGCAAAAAGGTATAAAACAATCAAAATATTTCTTATCATTTGGTGGTTAAAAGTGTTTTAAGGCAACAATGTAAAAAGAGCTGTCCCTCTCTAGGGCACTTCTGTCACAAATCATTTTCAATTCAATGAGTTTATATTAAATAATCAACTGTGAGTTAATGCAAAACATCAGACTTTTCATTTCTGGAAGAGGGAAGCAACATGGAGTAAAGCTCCAAGTAATAATAATACTGATTTAATAATATTGTTTCCATCTGCTGGTAAAAAAGTGTAAAATCAGAATGTCTTGGGGAGATACAGGCATTCCTGTATGAAGGACCTTAACAAACATAACATGAAGCTACAAATCTCATTAAAATTTTTGCAGGATATCTGTGAGGAAGAGGTTTGAGAATCCACATATAACCTTCATAAAAATATATTTAGCTTAATACTTGTTTTCATGGCTAAAAAAAATAGCTTTTTTAACCCACAGATTGATGCTTGCAGAGCATGCCAAGATTAAACAGGAGTGCAAAACAAGGCACCTTTGCTATCTGATTAAATAAATTTAATACAGGCAATCTCAGGAGAGAGTTGTACCTGACCTTGGGAAGTTTACATCCTGATAAAATGATGCATCCTGCTCTGCAAGACATTTTTTTTGCAGATGTGAATGAAAAGTTATATATATTTTTAAGCCTGTGGATATTTTTCATAGTGAAGGCAAGACTTTAAAGCAAGAAAATTATTGCTTTCTTGATCTGATTTACCACAAAATCCTACCACTGGAGGCGTCTTTGGACTTTGTTATAGTCAAACAAGATTCTTTCACAGAAGAACTCAGAATTAGAGAAAAAAAAATCTATCGCTATTTAAATGGTTAAAGTAATTTCAATTTCACCATCCACTACACAGAAACCATGCATACCCCCAGACAGAAAATTTGCATTTGTGAAATTAGCTAAATGAAGGGAATTGGTCAGTTATGAAAGGTGAACAGCTTAAACGGACCTAAATTAGTGTCAGGTAAACGATATCTTCAACCTTCAAGGCTCACACAAGGTAACCAGTTTTAAAAATGAGAACTAGGTGATTGTAGATGGTGCCACTAGATGGCAGTCCTCCAAAGAATTTAGTTCTCCTGATTTCGGGGATTAAATGAATTCAGCAAAGAATTTTAGTACAGGCTTCTTTTGAAACTTTAATTCTCTTCCTATCTGGGGAATGTAGCTCTAAATCTAAAACTTTCCTCCCAAAAATTTCTAATCATTCATAAAGCTCAAGCACCCTCAATTTCCTGAACCTGTTGGCTACTTCTTGAAAATCAGATTCTCAGCTTCAAATCCTGTCCTCCCCTAGCTTCTGCAATTCAACTCCTCTAGATCCACTCCCAAGTAACTCTTTCAACTTCCCGGGTATTTCAAGGGGTTCTGTCCTTTACTTTCTTCTCATTTTCCTCTACCCAATGTCTAGTAACTTTATAGTCAAAGACACATACAGGTTCCTTCTCTATGGTAATGAATAGGAGCGTGATTCACCACTCTGTTCTGCACCAACAGAAATATCAGATGATCTTTCTCTTAGGGATGTCAAGCTTCCAGTTCTAGCTCAGTAAGGCTGAAAGGTAAGGTTCTAGTGAGTCTTGGCCTTTTCAACCTTCATGACCTCTCCACTACTTTCTTTCTTCATTCACTATGGCTAGCACAGACTCAGAACACAGGTGATATTCATAACATTCTAAAATTAAATGCTTTTTCTAATTTCTCTACAAAACTAATGTCTGATATCTAATTTCATATCTTGCTTGCTGCACCATCAGTTTCTTAACCTAGACAAGCATCATCTTGTTCTGTTCACAGTCATTCAAACTGCTACTGCAAAGACCATAGTTACTTCCTTGGAACACTATCCTATCCTTTGAAGTAACAAAAAAAGAAAAGCTCATTCAAATACAAGATGCTCCTCTGCTTTAAAAGCCTTCACAGCCTTTCCTTTTTTGTCATCTCCAAAGCAGTAAAACAATAAGTTCTACTTTTGTGACTTCTAACTCAGTCACTGACTTCCTACGTTCAGGGGGGTTCCTTTCTGAACACCTTTTTGCCACCCTTACACAGCCTCTCACACTCCTGAGAGCCACTGATTTATTGTCTCAGAATTTCCTTAAATTCTCTCCCACCATCTCCTGCAACATAGTTAATGGCTGGGTTTCTGGTATGCTGAGACCTCTGCTTAAATGCTGATTAGTATCCTTATTCTCATTGAGTCCTTATATTCTCTGTATGTATCTGTATGTATCTGTTCAACAGACAGAAGTGCTGCTGAATCAAAAGCAAATACTCCAACAAAGACCATGAGTCATATTCATGTGCTACCCAAATTGCTGACCAAAGCAGAAGTTCACAAAAACCAAAGGGAAACATCAGGGCCTAATCCTGTACCCTGAAATAATGCCATCCTTGATGCTTAGGACAATACTGACTACATCAAAAGAATTCAATTACTAAAAACTTTCATAAAGCAATTTATTGATTCATATTTTAAGAGCAGAGAGAAGCATCATTATTAGCCTGACCTTCTAAATAATACAGACAATAAAATTTCATCAGTATTCCTGCACCAAGCTCACGATTGGCTGCATGAAACCCAGGTAACACCTCAGAAAGAAATCTAGTCTTGATTTGAAGGCAGTAAATAATGGATAATTTCAGAATCTGCTACTTTCATCGCTATACATTGAAATCTTACAGCTAGTCTCAATTTGTCTAGACTGAAATCTCAACTATTAGGTCTGTTACGTTTTCATTTAGCAAATCCTCTTGCATCAGAAACTGTACCATACAGGAAACATATTCAGATCAACTCTCTCTCTCTCTCTCTCTCTCTCTCTCTCTCTCTTATAAAACCTACATAATGATAAGTCTTAATACAGAACTGGTAGTAAAGAAAAAGAGAGAACACATACAGGAATTGACCCTTCTGCTTGCTCCCTTGTAACTTTATTTGAAACACTCTGTTAGTAAATTAAGTGCACAACATTCCTAAAAATATTCATATGGAAGAAAAATCACATATTTAGCCAACGAAATCTACTGACCCTCTCTGGAACTTTTCAGGGGCTGCAGGCAGATATTTCTTTTCATTTCAAATCCAGAACATGGAGCCCTCTTCTAAGGGTGGATGCATCCATTCTTTCAAGGAGGGGCAAGGTGCTTTTTTTTTTCTTTTAAGAGTAAAAAGCAGAGATGTCATTTCCACCTTTTTTTTTGTTAATACATTATTGAAGCACAGAACCAGTAAATGAGAATTCATTGCTTATCTGAGGATTCAAACCTCACTTACCATTAGATTATTTGAGCATTCTGGGTACAGGAAGTTGTGTTGCTGAGCAGAAAAGAATGCAAAAGTCATGCAGACAAGAAAGACAACAAGTGCTGACATGACCATCTCAGTTATTAGAGCACTTACCTGGAACAGAATAGCTCTGTATAATATTTCTAATCCCAAAACTTCTTTTCTATATTATTGCTAATGTCTTACTTCCTTTATTTTAAGGTAAACATGTTTAATTTATAGTTCAGAGAGTATTACACAGACATCTTCTGCTGCTTATCTTTCAAGAATGTAAAGCTCCTTTCAGAGTTACTGCTGCTTTTCAGGATACAATCTCCCCTCCTACAAAGTATGACCCTAATTCCCTATTCTTATCCTTATGACCTTGCATTTGGCTGCACTAAAATGCATTTTTTTCAAGTGAACCCAAGTTAACAAGCTACACAAATTGCCTTGTAAAACTGACCAAGCCTTATCCTTATTTACCACTCTACCATTCTTTAGTCACTATGGACTTTAGAAGCAATAATTTGGTATTTCTAGAGCTGATGATACTCAGAAACTAGAAGTAGCAAACTGCCAGTCTGAAAAACCATTAGAAATAACTTGAGAGTATTAAGGCTCCAATTCTGGATTTTTTTGTATCATTATAGAAACTAGAAAGACACAAAAAAGCAAAGTAATAAGTAGTGAAAAATAATATGCTTCATATTAATTAATATCCACAATATTTATTGCAAAACAAATAAAAAATTTAAAAACCCCAAATATTTGGGAATTCACTACAATCAAATGTAACAACTGGTAATATAGCAACACGATAAAACTGAGTAGGCCTATTCCACAATTAATTTACACATCCTTACTACTACTTGTAGAACAAATTTTTTGACAGATCTCTACTTACCTGCTGTGTCAGCCTCAGAAAAATTAACTATAATGCATTTTCTTCTTCTTCGGCTCCTCATTTATTAAGCATCCTGCAATTATCACATAACTACCTACTACATATGCAATGAATACTTTTAACTACAAGTTTTTCTAGGTCTCAGTTATGTATGTGTTTCCTTTTGTGCATGTGTTCAGCTCAACAGAACTACACTCAATTGCTTAAAGTTATGCTTGTTCCTAAGTGTCTGTAGAGTCAAGATTGAGGTAAGACTCTGTGTGTGATAAAGGGCCGGTGGGTGTGTACTTTAAACCTTTTACTATTGCAGAATTTTACATCTACAGAAAACTTACTGTATTTGCTTAGTATTTCTTGTTATTTCAATGGGATTTCTCATGTGAGTAGAATATATTTATAACCTAAATTGCAGCATAGAACCTAAAAAATGTCTACAAAATGCAATTTATTTTTAAAAACATACAATACTTTTTACATTCTAAGCAAGAAACAAGTCTTTTAGTAGCCTTGTTCTAATTATTTTAAAATACATCCACCAAATAAAAGCATTTTTTCAAATCTTTTTCTTTTCCATTTCTTTAAAATTACAAAATCCTGAAACATCATAAAAGTTATTTCTCAACACGTAATACTGTACGTTACAAAAGAAATTAAATCATAGTAAGTCTGAAAATAAGTAAGTTCATAACTTTTCCTTTCAGCTTGCTCTTTCAAATTAGTATATTGGTTCTTCCTCCTTATGGTCCATGTCTCTCTGCACCTAATATAAAAGCCTCTAAAAATGAAAATAAAGAAATCAAGAATCTTCATCTCTATTCTCTAGATTCCAAAATACATAATTTATCCAATACTACATCATGACATTCATCAGACCATAGGATGTAAACTGCAGACATAAATACTTGGCACAAGGTGACTAGTAATTTCTACTAAAATTATTTAGAAAAGAAAAACAGGTAAAGCTAAATTGTTGGTAATAATTTTAAAATAAAAAAAAAAGCAGGAGTCACAGTTTTCCTCTTGCAACTTAAGTAGATCTTTCCTTTGTTGCACTGAAAACTGAAACCGAGCAATGCAGAGTTTCCATCTTAAATTGGGTATATGAATAAATGTTGTGTAAAAATGTTACACATATACTAATATTAAAATTCTCTCTCAGCAGAGAGTATCTGTAAATACCCTTAAAACTTTGAATTAGTTTTATGACATGCTGTCACTTGAACATCTTCCTAGCTTTTCAATTCAGCTGTTGATCTTAGAGGAAACATGAGGTCTTTGGCTATCTTTGAAAAGTTAATAACTACAAAATTCTACCATTTAACTCTCCAATCTATGTTGTACTGAAGGTGATGAAAGTCTATTGACTTCCACAGGCCACAGATCAAATTCTAAACACAGTCCCTGGCTACTGTATGAACCCTACAAAGTTAATAAATGTCTAACATGCAGAGAGTTACAATGTGAGGGGCAGTGTACGGAAAATGTCTGAGACGTAAAAAACAAAAATCAGAAATGACTCTGCAAATATAGGTTACTTTAATTAAAGTTTGTAAGTACCTTCATATTTTTAGGAGAATGAAATGAAAATGGTAGAAATTCCACTTTGAAATTACACTAAACAGTTTTCAGGATTAACTATTTCGTCCCAGGTTCTTCTGGGACAACGACACTTTCAACAACTTGATTTTTTGTTATAAAGACCTATGCCTTATGTTATAAACAGATATTATAAAAGGGAAATCATCAAGAATTACAAAACTGTGTAAAGAAAAACATAAGATTGATTTATCATGCAATACATGTTCACATTAAAAAATATTTCATATTTGCTTACATTTTTTGGAAAAAAAGAAGACTGAAAAAAAAGTAAAAGTCACACTTGTAAAATCAGCATAATAGAACTTTGACTCACAATCGAAAAATGATCTGAAGCATTTATCAGAATATCTCCACTACATTAATATAGTTTGAGTCCAGAGGCTTATAGGCACGTGACAACCTCACAGAAAATAGCGTCAATAAATCTCTTTATTTTAGTTAAAATTACTCAAAATAATTTTTTCAAGTCATACAATTTTAATGTATAGAAAAGAGCCTAGTTACTTTATGCTTCAATGAGATAGTTTCACAGATCTTACAGTCCGAAGTCTCTACTGAAATCAGTGGCTTTTTTGCGTCAATGAGAACAGGATTGAGGTTATGAATAAAATGTGAAAGTTAAACATATGAATGAAATATCCAGTTTGAAAAGCAGCTCAATTACACAATATATAAGATTGATTAGGATTTGAGGCATGCTTACAGCAATCCCATTTGACGCAAAGGATTTTTTTAACTAATTGAATAGTTTTACAACATGAATAGAAACAAGTAGTTGTTCCAGATTGTGAAATCAGAGATCAGTGCTTTAATAAGAAAATCATATTAATTTAAAATTAGAAAGAAATATTTCACACTGCTTTTTTAACTCAATAGGAAGTATATAATCTTCATAAATGTTTACAGAAGTTTAGGATGCTGTAATACAATTCATTTTCTCTACAATGCAATTACCACACAACCAAAATAAAACAAAAATAGATGACAAACAGTTTAACTTTGAACTTACAATGATTTCCAGAAATGATGGCTGGCAAAACAATTTTAAAATTTCCAGGAACTTTTTCTGTAAGTTTTATCATTTACTTTAAATAAATAAAACAAATTCGAATGTTATTTTAATTACATTACCAGTACTGCTCTTGTGTAGAAGTTATCATTTCATTGAATGAACTAAATGAATGCTTTATCAATGTACACTGAAATATTTAGGGCATGCTGCAGGTAAAGGTGAATGTTTTTACGGCACACACTCTCCTAAAATAGACTATTTATCATTCTTTGAAAAGGGGACATAAAAAAACAATACTATGTGTGTGGCCTACATTACCTTCACTTAATGCACTAAATACAGGTTTTTTAGAAAATTGTGCAGTTTCTGCACCATTGATAATCTGACAGTAAGTATTTATTGAGGGTAAAACACTCATTGTCTGTTGACACTATTTGTTTTAATATATAATCTTGCTAACCAAATGATCTTTAAGCAATGCAGATAAGCAATGGCATGCAAAGGGTCACTTAAATGCCAATTTGACTGTTTCATAAACTTAAGCATTCTTTTCCCATGACTATTCTCAGCTACTTAATTGAAAGTATTATCCATTTACAAACTTAAGGCCTGCCATAAAAAGGCTCTCTTCTGTATCCAATAGACCTTTCAGAACCCTAAGAACAACAAAATCTAATCAATAAAGCTTCTCTTTTCTTTTCCTCTTTTCTTATAGGGAAGTGAAGAACTAACCTATAGTACATCTAAACAAAGCTATCTGTAAAGATCTTATTAGCAGTGAAGACCATAAAACTGAAGAGTCTGACTTGGCGTGGAATGGACAGGATCAGTTAAGTTAGGACATGGTCTGTACTACTTTTGCAGTCTGCACTCCTACTACAGAATGGCAGATACAACCTACGACAAGAGCAAGGTAATAAGCAGTTGTCCTTAAATTATAGCTCTACATGTAAAATCTCCTGAATTTCAGACAAGCACTGACTGTAATACAAATTCAAGTTAATGAATTTTTAATACATCTTCTCTATTTAAAGATGATGACTTACAGCTGGCATTGCTTATATTAAATTTGTGGTATTTTCCATTGTTTGTTTTTAATTATTTTGATTAGATTATGCTTGGAATTGTATAGACAAATTCAACCCCACATAAGCAACTTCAGTTTCTGATGCAGCCAGGAGAAGTTTCATCTACATATAACACGACTGAATAGGCTCTTTGTATTTTAAAAACCATATCAGAACTATTTCAAGGACTTAAACAGAAAGTTAAAGCTAGAGGTACCAAACTAAACCTGATAATTTAGATTTGGAATTGTAAGTGTTCACATCCAGATTTGGGTGGATGGCATTATTTCTTCTCCAAACTCGGCTATCACGCTATGCACCAATAACTTAATATATTTTCAGTAAATTTATCATAATAATGAAATAAGATTCAAAAATTACTTGATATTTGAGGCCTGAGGAGCCAAAGATTGTTGCAAGTGATGTTCTTCTTGTAGCTCTTTCTGAACTTCATCTTGTTTAATTTTTTTATAGTACTTTTCCTTCTACCTGTAGCACATCCCAGGATGGAGCCTAAAATGTTTATGAACAACTGATAAATACAGTATTACAAACTGTTAAGTTACAAAGATATTTTCACACCCTCTCTGGAGAAGTACAAGGAGCAACGGCACGTAAGCAGCTCTGACTATCAGAAGAACACAGTTCAATTAAACTACAGCAGTTTAGACCTGCTGTCACTACGCATATGACAGCAGTGCCTACAGCTTATCAGTATAAGGAATAAGCAGAAAACTGTGATAAAACAAAATTTCCAGTGTGCCCTATCTAAATTATTTCTCTGAATAGTGTATAAGATGAATGTATTTCAATCTATTACAAAGATATAATCAAACACGCATCAAAATCATATTAGTATGTAAAACTAATAAAGTAAGAAGAGCACGAACACATATACAATTTGTACTGTATTTTTAAGCAAATTCAAGCATATGTATAGTTTAAAATATTATATTTTTAGGAAGCTTCCTCAAGGTTATGTTTTTTAAATACAGGAACTTCTGCAGGAGTACAGATGTAAGGAATTCCTACTGTTTCCACCCACAGCTGCTCATTCCTATTTATTAGTTGTGCTTAGTTGCTCCAAAAATTGTTTTTTTCACACTGTGAAATAAATCAAATAACTGATCCATGTTGAAAAAATCGTACTAAAAAAAAAGATGTGGAGGTGTCCTAATCGTAGAGGCTGGGACCAGTTTATCACTATGTGGGTATAATCAAAACTGTATTCTACACTCTCCATGTAATTTCTGAAGTACTGTTAATAATGGATAATTTGCAGTAGCTGCCCAGGGCACACCTGACACCTCAGGCTACAAGGTGGGTGTTAAAGAACTCTGGGAAGAGTGTTTCTTAGTCTTCACACCAATGACTCAGCTGTGATAACTCCCCTCTGGGGAGGAATTAGCACCTTTACACCCAGCCTGAGGGGTCATCTCTGCTAATGGGCCATACTGGACTGGCATAATAGGCAGTTCCAACAACTTAGACCATCAAGGACTCCAAAAATATCCCATGACTCACAGAGTTAAATAACCCTGGGGGAGGTACTGGACATTCCCAGCTGAACCTGAGCACATATAATCTTGGGGTTTTGGGATTTCTAGTCCACTTGTCAGATCCAGAGGACGACCAGAACTTCAACAGGACTGCAACAGTCACTCTCGACAAGACTATGATCATCACTTCAAAAGAACTGCAATCATCATCCAGACCATTTCCTTTTACTTTGCCTCCAGGGGGACCACATGGTGGTCAGCACAGGGGTGGATGAACACCACTGTGTTCTTGTCCCGGGGTGCGGGGTTATACATCCGTCTTTGTGGGTTAAAACCAGTTTTCCCTATATCATTGCATTTATTGTAATTGTTTTTTTTAGTAAATTGTAAGTCTGACTTGTAATCTCTTGAGTTGGGTGCATTTTGTCCGTCAGTTTACTTTAAAACCAGCACAAGAGGAAAGATAGAAATTAATCTAAGATCTGTGATTCTCTTTGTAGAGTGCCCCCACATAGAATTTTTGTCTGGGACAGCTCACTATAATCCAGTAGCAAGAGCAAGCAGCAAGGAAAAGGAACTACTGAAGCCATCATTGCTGCCAAAATGTCTGCATCTGTTACATGAAACTGAGCTTCAGAATCTATACCCTTGTACTGCTTTTTCCATACTGTGATGACTTGCAGAGGTCCGTTCCAACCTTAACCATTCCACAATTCTGTTTCCTGCAAACTGTTAAACATCTTTAAAACAGACTAGTAGTGCCATCAATAGAAAGGATTCTTCTGAATTCCACTTAAAAGCCTGTGTATGTAACACAACAAATCAGGTTCAAGAAAATAAACAAGTATAATCATAGCATAAGAAAGACAGGCAAAACCAGAACAACACAGTGGGGAAAATTAATTTTAAAGTGCTTTGTCTTGAAAAAAATGTCTATCTCAATATGAAAATTAGGTCCACTTTTGGGCCCAAGTCTTCCTGCTACACCAGGGTAATTAATTCTACAAGTCTGGTCAGGCTGGCTACCTTAGTTTATAAAAACCCAAAGAACACAATTATTGTGAGTGAATGCCTTTCTAATTTAGTTTTCAGTCACATATCTTTTTAAATGAATCATAAAGAACTTTACCCTTCTTTGTCTATTCATAAGCTTTATTTATCCCAGAACATAACTGGGCACAATGTTTATGTTTATTTATAACTTCAGCAGTATTTAAATTTTTAGAAGAAATCATTTCAGGAAAAAACGAGAGAAGTTTTTAGCTCATAAACAAGTGCATAAACCACCAAGTAAAAGATAACTGAGAACTGTCATCATCATCATGGCTAGGCTTCGCGAACGAAGATTTGGGAAGGGCTCTACCCACATTTGCTGCAAGCACATTCGTGGCTGAAAAGGCCAATGCGAGATAGACAAGTCCGGTTGCAAAAGGCACAGAAGAAAGAGTCCTTAGGTGGTATCGACTAGACACGGTTCTTTCTGCATTGTCTTTTCTCCTTGAGAGTGATCCTGCGTGCGTTCTCAAAAGAAGCAGCACCATTAGAGATAGTGTGTCTCCCGGCCTCCCAATTGGAGGACAGACCAATAATGATGTATGGCCAAGGCTGAGATGTTGTTTCAGGGAGTCCTTGTATCTCTTCTTCGGGGCTCCTCTCTTGCGGCAGCCAGTGGCAAGTTCACCATAGAGCAAGATCTTAAGGAGGCGGTGGTCCTTCATCCTGGAGACGTGTCCTGCCTAACGCAGCTGTGTTCTCAGCAACATGGCCTCAATACTCGTAAATGCTGCTTGTTCTAGAACAGATGTATTAGTCACATCATCTGACCAGTGAATGTTTAGGATTGTACGGAGACAGTGTTGATGGAAGCATTCTAGGAGACACAGGTGGTGGCGGTAGATGACCCATGATTCAGATCCGTATAAGAGAGTAGACAGCACTAT